TTGTTTGCGTATTTTTTCATTAGAAACAGATTGTCAAAGAAAGAAACTCAATGCGCCATGCACGGTCTGCTCAACAGAGATCACTTCATAGCAGATTTATTCTCTCAGGTTCACTTGTTGAGTCTTTCATGTTTTAATTTCTGAATTTCATCAATTAGATAGTATTCTATAGCTCCTAAAGAAGAGCTTTCTGATAGCATAGACATGGCCACATACTTTGTATGCTGTACTGCACAAATCAGTGGAAAAGTATAACTGCACATAGACAATTGCTCAGAATAGGGAGCTGGCATCACAAAGAGCATCCCAAAAATGGGAAGGGGTAGCCCAGTACTGTTAAAGCTGAACTACTCTCACGTCATTTACTAGAGAGTAACAAAAGAAACCAAAGTGATTAAAATACTTCTTACACCATTAAATAATATTCTTTAAATTACATTCTTTGTGGATACATTACATGATGCACGGTCATGTGCATCCTTTGAGGATGACACAAAGCAGACAGAAAACCAACTTCACTGAAGAGTCAGTGCTACCTCTGGTGTTCAGCTATAACTCGGTATATTTATGTTAAGAAAATGGAGGTCACCCTCTGTCCTGGCTGTCCCTGCTGGCAGAAAAGCACAGTAGGGACCATTACCAGCCAGCTTGGAGGGGTGAAGAATCAGCGTAAGGGTGGGAAGACTGCAAAGTATGAGTATGGAAAAGTAATTTTTAATGATCAATTATAACTATAATTTCAAAATAATAGTTACAGAATTGGTAGCATCGGAGCATGGCAAACTCAAAAAAAAAAAAATCCTACCTCAGAAGTTACAAGGGAAAAAAGAGAATCCAGATGAAACTTGCACACAGAAGCTTGTCCTTGCAGAAGAAAAATCTTTGCATAATTTGAAGAAAACTAGGCACTAGATTTCTCCGTTATCTTCAGTTTGCTATCCAAGAAGCAGTGTTAAAAAACAATAAAGAAAACACCATTCCCCAGAACTAATCTCCCTGCAGTAACAACACCATTCCCCAGAACTATTCTCCCTGCAGTAATTACTTCGGCAGTTCTTCATGCCTAACAGAAGCTGGAAAAACTTGTGGTTTGCCAGGCAGCGAATCAGTTCTTTAAAGATAACGTCCCTCTCCCTGACATTCATGTCAGCTCTAACTTTATAAGAGATATTCCTATGGAAAAAAAAAAGATCTATCAAAAAGCAGGTATTTTACATAATCAAATTTTTCACAGAGCAGGAGACCAGAACACAGGACCTGTAGGTCCTCCACACAAACACGATATGGCAGTTAAATGGACTATTAATAATCGTGAAATTTATGTTTCATTCCTATCGCTAATATTCACTTACTACAAAATGGTTGGTAAGTCACTAAATCACTTGCTTCCTTATGCAACAAGACTAATGCTTTCGTATTTGTTTTATCACACAGTATAAAATATTTAAAATTAAATTTTAAAAATTTATAAAATATTTACCATCTTTAGAAACATAACTCCGTTCATGTCAAAGTTACAAAAAAACCTGTGAAACAAACAATATCGTCTGAAGTCAACTTGAAACCCTCAGATAAATTATTTCAGTGCTAACAATAACATTTAGTTATGTCTTTGCTTTACTAAGCCCAAGTATGATTAAGAGTAGGATCTGTATTTACATAAAACTGGTCAGATTTCCCCAGACAAGTCCAGAGCAACCCAGTCTTAAGTAGCCAAAGAACACAGGCAAGGAAAAGAAAATATCAGATAAGAAAATACCTTTTAAACTTCCAGGGATGTGACAGTTTCTTGCTGAAAGCCCAGGACACATCCTGAGAGCTTCTTTTTAACTTTGCTCCTGTGAAAGCAGCAGTTGAATCACAAAGCCTTGCGGTTTGCCTCGATGGCAGCAGTAGTTGGTGTTGGCAAGCAGCCCTAAAAATAATGACACTTGCTTCCTAGAAATCACGAAAAGACAATGCAGATTTCTTTAAAGAAGAGCTTTCCATATCTAAACATTTACACTGCTTTTGTTTTATCATAGTTTTTATTTAAATAGGAAACATACCACAAAGAATTCTCAAGTGAGCATTTGCTGTTCTTTCAACTCCTTTTTATGGGTTTTGTGCCTCAAAATGCAGACCCGCACCTAAAAGCCCTATTCTTTTTTTTTTTTTTGTAACACTCACAGCAAAATAAGGAAGTAATTTGTGCTTATAAATCTCAAGGCAATTAACTCCAGGGCATAAAAATGCAAATTACTGATGCTATCAGGGTATTGATGTTGGCTGCCATATAACCATGTATTTTTGTAAGTTCTAGCACAAACTACTTTGTTGATTCCTGGAAATCAGCTTTCCATGATTTCCTAGTAATTACTGTATGTCCGAATGACCATTTTACTCTCCCTGTATTTTCAATCACTGATATCTATTTCCTGTCACTGACTCTCATCCTTCATCAGCTGCTACTTTTCATTTCTTTAAATGTCCTAAGTATTTTCTTCTCAGATGCTTTAGCTTTTGCAAAAACTCGCCTTTTATCCCATTAAACCTCGTATGTCTGGTAACAAACGTTCTCGCTAGACAAAAACATCTCATGTTGTACAGACAGGGATAGGAACTCTTAATACTGAAATGAAACAAGTCCACAGTTTTAACAGGAATTTATAGACCTCTGAGAGAATTTCTCTGAAAACTAATACTAAGTGTTTTAAAATTAAGTGAAGGCACAACACTAACTGTTGTACATGCTGAAGAAGTTCTGTAAAAGCTCATGCAAGGGTAATTAATAAACTATTGTTTCCCTTCGGACGTTAGTAACAGAAAAGGGTTAAAAACAAGTGTTTACTTGCTTCCTATTTTAACTAGTTACAATGAAGCAAAGAAAAAATTAAGTACAGAGTGCTGGCAATGAACTAACAGTTCACTGCCAAGGAAGTAAAAACCCAAACTCCAGATTTTCTTGCAGGAAGGACGGGTGCCTGAAGTGCGGCGTTAGGGCTAAACGCGACCTACCAGCTCCTTGCAGAGTTGCTTTGCTTTTAGCCTTGGTGCTGCAGAAGTGACCTGCCAAAGACAGGTTCCTGTTCGTCACGAATTCAAGCAAGAAATTATTTCTAGTCATCTACTAATGAACATACAAGAACAAATACACACACGGCCTGTGTGGGTAGCTGTGATTTGTGTTTTGTGGTTTTGGGGTTTTTTTTATTTACAGATCTCCTTGACATTAATATGCAAACTAACAGCAGCCCACAGAAGCCTGAAAAACTGCCAGTGCAGCCATTAGTTTCCCAGTGCTGTTTATGCTTGGCTGGAGATGAGGCCAAGTCCTGCTGTAGTGGAATTTTTGCCACAAACTTCAGTGGGACTAGAATTTAACTTGTTATCCATAAAACAGAGAAGAAATATCAAACAGTTCCTTAAACTGGAATAAGGAGAAAGTTGCTGCAGTGATAGGAGAACAGTTATGAATTTAAATGAACTGGCACTCATAAAAGACATTGACCGTTACAGTAAGACCTGGAATAGAAATCTACCTTTGAAAAGAGCTGGAGGAAAGAGTCTTCACACTTCAAGAGTTCCCAAATTTCCACCAAGGTCTTTCATGCTCTAGCAACTACTTTTTGCAGAGTATAGACTTGACAACTTCTACTCAGCTTTCGGGTTCACCCTCTCTAGCCCCAGAAGTGTAGCCTCCATGGTTGCACGCAAAACTCTTCTGTGCTTGTTTTGCCAAACGGACCTACTTTCATCAACAGCAGATTTCCTACAGACCTGCTCCAGTCCTCAGTTTAAGTACCGATTTGCTTAATCCTGTCCTTTCATACATGTTTTATCACTGCAACTGTGAAGGTCTGAATTCATTACACCATTCCTTCAGCAGAACAAAGTGTTGCTGAGAAAACAGACTAGTTTTTTTCAAAATCTGAAAAAAATGTCAGAATAACGCTTCACATTCTTCTGACACCACCTACCAGTGGAAAAAGCAGCAAATAATAGTAAAAGGGCTAGAGCATACATAAGCTGATTCTGTCTTCCACTGCCTCAGATACAGAAAAGCAAGAGAAAATAGTGGAAAAAAAAATGCTCAGCAAAATACTTAGCGAGAAAGGAGAGTCTTTGTCAAACTCCTTCGTTATTTACTCCCATCCAGCTGAGAGGCTCAGAAGAGCTACTGCAAATGGCATCCTTTGGTCTATCAAGAAATAACTGATAAGATGTAATGATAAGTGATGAAAAAGGCATATTTGTGTGTATAAGCCATTTTCTGTATCTTCAAATCTTGTGGGTTGTTGATTTCGTTCATCCTCATCCATGAAAGAGGAAGATATACCTATGATTTGTGGAGGTACTCCTCATAGAATAAGCTTAACATGCCATTGATCAAAACCGCATTAACTGAACAATTAACTGAATTGTCGATACTCCAGCAGCCTTCAGAAAAAGCACATGTGGAACACTTCAGCCTGAAAGCGCGGTGTTCAATGTATGCAGAAGTAAACCTCCCTACCAAACGCTCCTGGCAGGCCCCCAGGCATTTATCTAACATCTAAGATACAAAACCCATCACTTCAGTCTTCATTCTCCTCTGCTTTCACTGTTCAGACCCCCATTTTAAATGCTAAACTCTAACTCATGATATCTTCGTGTTTACCTCTGTCCAATCTGTCTTGCGCTCATGCTCCCTACCCACTGTGTGGCCCTATAATTTTATATATATAAAACTTATTTCCTACTTTTTTGCCAAATTAGTCTCTCAGCCTACCTGATTATTTTGCTATATTCACTCATTTTTTCTGCCTCATTGTTCTCACTTATACCTGTGGAGGTTGTAAGGAAGTTATAACCTACAATAAGTGAAACTCGAACATTTAATTTTGTGCCGTGAGAAAGGACAGCCAATTTTTCAGGAGACATTTTCTTTTACTATGTTCCCATTTTTCTTCTAACATCATAAGAAACTATGTAAAAAAAAAAAAAATGAAAAAAAAATTGTAAAAAAAAATGTAAAAAAAATTATAAAAAAAAAATTGTAAAAAAAAAAAAAAGGCCAACCAAGAGAACACAAAATACCTGCAAGAATAAGACAGCTACAACTTCTGTAAATGCTTGTCTCCTTGTTACAATCCTCTTTCCTAGAGCTGTTGTCTATCTCTCAGCACCCCTCAAATGCAACCAGCCCTCATTAAAAAGAATGAACATGCACACAAAAAAATACCTGAAGACTGCCATCAGTGAGTTTTTGACATAGTCTGGGTGCGATACGCTGTTCAGCACTCACTGTGTCTTATCTTTTGACAAAAACTGCTCTGACAGAGAAAAGATCAACAGTTATTTGCAGCCTTATAATGGTTACCCCATATTTTCTTCCTCCAGAATGTTCTCAGCCTTCCATTCATCTCATTTATTACTTTTCTTTTTACCCGTTGTTAAATGACAGAAGCTGACTTCTATCATTTTCACATAGGAAATATACAACTGAAACATTATCATGAGAATTCAGGCATTCGCCTATATGTAGTCATTCTCAAGAATTTGAATTATCTTTCCTTCTTATTAGCTCCTGAAAGCCTGATGCAGGCTTTGGAAGATCTTGATTATCTAGCAGCCCTGGATAATGACGGAAACCTTTCTGAATTTGGAATTATTATGTCAGAATTTCCCCTGGATCCACAACTGTCAAAGTCAATTCTGGCCTCGTGTGAATTTGAGTGTGTTGATGAAATGCTCACCATTGCAGCCATGGTAACAGGTACTCGTAAATAATGTCTTACTACATGGCTTGTGCCACTTGCCAAATCCATGTAGACTCGAAGTCTATTCACAAGGGCAACCCAAAGGCAAATTTTTGTTATTTACATCATGCTTGTTTCAAGTAAATTAATATCTTTGGCTGTTTAAGTCTTTATTTTAAGCATGCAATGAAACAGTAGTGAATTCTTAAGTAGAACTCCCAATTCCATGCTTCAGATGCCCCATTAGGTTCCAACCTTTTGTTGGAACTTACCTTTCTTAAACTTATCTCGTATTCATGTACATTTATTACAGTCTGGAACGAAAAATTAGAGGAAGTTCTAATTATCAACAATACTGAACTGTTGAGCTACAAAGAATTACTTTGCGATCTTGTTTCTCCAAATACTTTATAAAAACTAAGATAACCTTAAATATCCATACCATTCTGTCCTGATGGATCACTCTGCCCTTGCATGGCTCTTACATGGCACCGTGAGGCAAACCAGCTAGCCCCAAACACTGAACACATGAAGTCTGGAATAAGAACATTTATATTAAAGGTTGTTAATTATTCTTCAATTGATGTGACAGAGCTTTCAAACCAATCCACATAAACCCCAGATACCTAAAAGCTCTTCAGTCTGCGAAAGCTGCTATTGAAATCTTAATATATCAAAGATGGACAAAATAAAAATTTTCAGGATAACTGAGGGTGACTCTAGAAGTTCAAACAGCAAATAATGATGATGACTTCTCAGGATCCCACCAGAAGATAGTGGAGGACAGGGCTAGACCTAGACTCTTTCAGTTCTCAGTGTTAGATAGCGATGTTGGCTTCAGCAATATTTAGCTGTCTCGCTTCTCTCCGCAGCAACCTCCCAACAATATAGCACTGTGCTACTGGTTTTATGGCATAACCCTAGTACAGCACCAATGCTTGAGAGCTATCTACTGCTCAACAGCCACCGCTTACCCTTGCCTGTAGAGAATGTTTTGGCATGGCACTACTGTGCTGTGCCCAGAGGGAATAGCCTATGCCCAGAAATTGGTGAGAAGTCTTAGGCAGCAGTGACACAAACCCACAGCATACCAAGCTGTGTTAGTTCTTCTCCTTAAAGAGCGTCTTCGTTTTATGCTCAAGCTGGCCTGATTTTTAATAGTAGGCCTAAACTTGTGATAAAATTTGTAAGTACATACAACAAATGTAAACAATTGAGCACAGGCACATTTGAGTTTTTAAAAAGCTCAATCATCTCGAAAGACACAATTATGTAGTACAATATGACCACAGAAGTAAAATGCACTGGAAGGCATAAATTTCAACATATAGCAGCAAATTTAGGCATTACATCCATAGATTTAGTTTCTTTCTATATTAAAGAAGTCGTATGCTTGAATTCTGGATAAATTGGATCATGCTATTATGAAGCATTTTTGCATCCATCTAGGAGAAAGCTGGTCACCTTTTGTGTTTACAGCACAAATTAACTAAACAAGAGATTGAAAGAACATCCATATAAAAAAAACCTTAGTGACTGCAATAGATTCCGTTCTTCAGCAGCAATCCAATGCTGAAGATTAAAGGGAACCAAGAAAGGAAAAAAACAAGAGTATCAGTGGGATTACTATTTGTGCATGCACCTATGTGTCTTAATAACCACTGGCTTGATTTTTTTCTAAGCTCCTAATTGCTTCTTACACGCACCTCCTGGAACAGAGGAGATTGCTCTTACTTGCTGGCGAAAATTCTCACACCCTGCAGGAGATCACTTTACTCTTATCAATGTCTTCAACGCCTTCAAGGAAGCCAGTGCAAACTCGGCAAGCCAATGTAAGTGTACTCATACCAGACAAAATGAAGCACGTTAGTCCCAATTTGGAAACAACAACAACAACAACAACAAAATGAATATTGTTGGCATTTAGTTCATAAACCCTTTTAGAACGATTCCTTCTCAAATTGTTAATTATCAGAGAGAAGAGAAACCGAAGATAGTAGCCGTTACAAACAAATATTAGTTTTAGTTTATTAACTAACTGAAAGTGACCTAGGACAGCATACCTCATCCAACATGGATACATCAGCACTACTACAATTGTCATTTGAAGTGACATTGTAGAAAACCAGGAAGACGGTTCCTCCTATAAAAGCCCATAATCCAGGTATGCACAAATCAAGTATTGCCCACTTACTTTACAAGCAAGACAAACACGCCCCAGTTGTCCATATTGTTCTTGTTATCAGAATTTTGGACAGCTCTGACACAGCTACTCACTCCAAAATGTTTTTAATTAGTCAAAAAGCATTTTACAGACCAATATCTTTGGATAGTACCTATCAGTAAGACTTTGCTTTAAGCCAAAATACTGTTTTTTTTCTCCACAGACTACAGTAATAAGAAATGGTGTCGTGATTATTTTCTAAGCTGTTCTGCACTGAGGATGGCAGAAATTATCAGAGCCGAACTAGTAGAGATTATGAAGCGTATTGAACTTCCCATTTCAGAACCGAACTTTGGATCAAAAGAAAACATACTAAGCATTAAGAAAGCTCTCTTAACTGGTTACTTTATGCACGTAAGGAAAAATATTGTGGTTCCATCTTATATATTCTATAACTTATATAGAATGTTTTCAGAGAACTTAAGTTAGGTAGTGAAATCTTTTATCATCAGAAAGGATAAAAGCCATTTTTTCCACTGTGTATCAGCCAAACACTTCTGCCAATTCCAATCTTCTCTCTGGGGTTCAGTTATCACAGCATGAAGTCCACACACTTCACTGCAAGAGGAAAACTGTCAATACGCCTTTCACTCAAAGAACTCTTTTACTTCAAAAACTCTTCAACTTGTAATATTACATCTCAGACCTTATTTTCTGTTTGAAGATGTTTTTGTGAAAATACCCTGCAAACAGAGAATTGACTTGTTGAATATGCTTAGGTATACATAATATACAGCTTTCTTCATCTCAACCAAATGAGGTACTCTAACTGTAACCGTAAACATAAAGATTAATTTATTCCCACTTGAAAACATGCTTTCCTTCACATCACTATGCTCCACCTAAATACAAGAATGACCCCTCCAAACTACACTCTTTCAAGTGCTTGGCCACACACTGTATTTTAAAATCTTGTAATTCTTAAGAATACGTCTGTTTTCACACAGACCCTTCAAAGACAAGTTCAGATACTTACTGTATAGGCCTGCCCTCATTTGTTGCAAACAGTTTCCTTTCAAATATACAGATCAACATTTTCTTTAACTCTAAGCTTCATTTCATAGTATCCAGTCCCTAGCTTTCCTGCAGAAATCTGGGACGAGGTTTAGGTTCTCCAGTTGAAAGTATCTATATAGAAGTTTAATTCCTGGTTTTAATTTAATAGGGAAACACTGATCTATGCATCTTGAACACTGAACTCTCTGCATTTTTTTTTTTTTTAAAGATTGCTCGAGATATAGATGGCTCAGGTAACTACTTAATGTTAACACACAAGCAAGTGGCCCAGCTTCATCCTTTTTCATCATATTATAACACCAGAAGGGTTCCTGAGTGGGTTTTATTCCATGAGTTTCTTGTATCGGAAGACAATTCCATCAGAGTCATCTCGGAGATATCACCCGATCTGTAAGTCAACAACGATGAAACTGTTTCTTCACTCATACCTCTGCCACAAAAGCATAATTTAAGTCACAGACAGGGTGAGGGCGTGTGTGTACACTGACAGAAACACTTGGAGAAGTCAACTCTGGTCATCTCCATTTCTTTTATCTCTGTCAGAAAAACAACTATCTTCAGGTTCTGTTGAGAAAGCATTCCGAGTATAACCAAGTCAATCTAGGTAGGGATACCGGTTTACAAAAAAACCCACCCCAAACCAACCAAACAAAATTGTTAACATAGGCACAAGAGAAAAAGACAGTCTGTCACTGTTTGTAGCTTTGCTTGATGTCTTCATTTTCATTCAGAACACTCACTGATTTAGAGCTCAGAACTATTAAAAACGGAAAGAACTGTGATCTCATGCCTTTGCTATTCTTTTCATGCAAAACAAAACATCCTTTAAGTCAACCTTTTGCATTTCCTAACATGTGCTGATCTGTTCAGGTGCTGAAGTAAGTCTCAATGTCTGACACTGTAATTGTAATCAATTCATCCATTGAAAAACCACCTTACAAGTAGCAAAGGTTTCTTACACCGCAAAATGTACAGAAAAAAAATCAAGGAAGAGTTAAGACAGCAGTGTACTCACAGATTAATCTAGCTGGAAATTTCTTTTTGAAAAGCTATTTTCCAGCAAATCTTCTTCTCGACATGCTTTATGTACCCAGCCAGCTAAATCACCCCGTATCAACTGTTTATGGATTCAAGAAAAGACTACAGTCTTCCTTTTGCAAAAATCTCTTTACATTGAGAATATATATTTCACTGTCCTATCTCTTCTATTTTCAATGTTTATAATAAAGCCTTTTTCATACTTTTATTGAACCAAAGATATGTTCAAATCCAGAACAATTACTATTTAATGCAATCTGCAGCATTGAGAACTGAACAACAATCACCTGAAGTGTAGACCGAGTACCTTAAGTGCAAGCCTACTGAAAGCATAAACTACTACTACATCTTTCAGAGAGCTTTGGTTTTGAGTGGAAATACTAACTTCATAGCTGTATGCATCAGCACATTGCTGGTCTCTTTTGTACAAGCCTGGAAATAGCTATTCAAATATTTCAAAATCCAATTTAAAAATTAGTAATGTTTTGTCTTATTTCCTCACCAGATTCGTGGAGCTGGCACCTCAGTACTATTTTAACAATCTTCCTCCTAGTGAAAGTAAGGATATTCTGCAGGAAGTGATCAATCACTTGTCACCTGTTTCAGCCATGAAGGAGGAACAGAAAACTAACAATGACAGCACAGAAAATGAAAAATTTCCCCAAACTCCCATTGAACAAAGATGTATTGTTCAGTGACTTTAGACTGAATTATCATATATTGGAAAAATATAAATAAAAACAGTCTATACAATATACATCCTTATCTTAACCCATGTAATTATTTGATTTTTTTACATAAATGTATTCAACAGAAGAAACATATGGAAAAAACACTTTCCTTACAAAAGGAGTTGCATGCATTGTTTCATTACAAAAATATATGATTTAGGTTTGGTTATAAACATACTGAGGAGATCTTCAAGTTTCCTTGTAACATTGTTTTTTTTATTGACTGCTTAATGGTGACACCAAAGTATAATAAGATATAATACTTAAAAATATTAATTTGATGGAGATTTTCAGTTGTACAACCCACTTGTCTTCTAAGCGTACAGAGGAAGCACTACAAAACCATTAACTCAATAGCAGTCTTCGGAAAATATTGTGAAGTCATAGTTCTGCACGGCTGCTTTACAAAAACCAGTGTTTACAGGGAAGTTCAGAGTGAGAGATAGTCTTTGAGTTTATCCATAATGACATTAATTCCATCAGCTGGAACTATCATAACAGTCCGCAAAGGTTTCATTGGTACATCATCAAAGGACCATCTGCCACCCAAACAGGTGTCACTTTCCTCTTGCACAGAGTAGTTGAACATCAGAAGGGCTTTCTACATAACAGAAATAAATGCATTAGGATTAAAATTTTTAATTAGCATAAAGATAATGCATCATCTAAACAAAGTAAAAATAATGACCCTATTATGCACATGCTTATTAAGAAGTTCTTTTCTTCCCTTCCCACCAAAAAAACCCCTATATATAATTCATATTAAAATCTCAAATTACTGCTATCATTACAGTTTGGTATCAGAAAAAACACCTAAGGGGGGTGGTGGGGGAGAATCAATGCCCCCTTTAAATGCTTACTGTGACTCAGTTTAGACTGTTTTAAGACAACGTCCCATGCCATATTATCGCACTAAGAAGCTACTGTGCCAAAAAGCAGGGATCCTTGACCAGTAACAGGAGTATCAGGCTCTTAATAGACCTTCAACCCTGGAACAAGAGCAAACCACTAGCTGTGTAATCTTGAGAATTAGCAGATCAAGCAAAACCCAGATAAAAAGAATAGCGAGAGAGCGCAAGTAGAGCCTGCATTAAAGAGGATAGCTTGGTGTGTGCTACATGTGGAAGGCCTGAAGCAACGAATAGGCTCTGCTCTTTTCGTGGCCTACTCTAAAACTACTCAGAGTCCTAAAAATTGATATATCTGTAAGAATACGTGGTGCAGTAATCCCCTCTTTCAAGCTGACAGTAGAAATTAAATATTAAAGCAATAGGCACTAATATGAATCCTGAACAGAATTTCAAAAAGCTTTTGGAAAGTCTCTAGATGGCCGGAGCCACTGAAAGACATATTTATAAAGGATGCTTCTTCAAATCGATAGGTGTCCATAATGTTTATTATTTCTTTTCAGTGATATATACTGCATAGAGACAGAATAGACCCTTTTTATTAGCTTTCCTACACAGAACACTTGATGGATAAGAAAAACTTAAATGTTTCTAGTTCTTACACAACTCAGGTTAAGAAGTATGAACTGAACTCCTAAGTAGAAAAACTTATCTAACCTCTTCCCTCTGCAGGGAAAGTTAAGATCCACTCTCCTTTTAGGATTGCTGTTTACTAAAAATGTCTGAAGGTTGTAAATTTAATTTTGGAAGAACCATCAAATTAATTGAGTGGCTTTGCTCAAGAACACACAATTTGAGCAATGGAGGCCCTAAACCTTTAATCAATTCCAAGTCTGGTTATAATAGAGATTTTCTTCTGCTCCCTCAGTAACATTCTAAGGAACAGAATAAAGCACGGGGAACTGACAAGTGCAAAGAGGCTTCTCTCTCTTTTATATAGCTCTAAGTGTCTGCCCCACCGCATTTAATACTATTTTATGGCAATCTAATTAACGTTATGTGTGATCAGGGAGGTATAAGCTCCAATACTAATTTTACACATATGCATTATTAAGTACAGAGACCCACTTAATCTACTATCCTCCATAATGTTTAAAATTAATTTGTTAAAAACACCAGAAAGACTGTTAAAAAGAAAAGAATGTTCAGTTTGAGTCTATCCACTTGAGTTGAGAATTATTGCAATTTAGATAAAAGCATGCAATTAGTCTTTAAAATGCCACTCAAAATAACAAAACAGAGATAAATACAAAATAGGCCTTCTAGAACATAAACCTGTGGACACGTGGGCATCACAGGCTTCTCCCCCCCAGTTTTTCAATAACATGTTTACACAGAGCTCAAGTTCAGTTTGTAAAGTTGCTGCGGCAGAAACACAAAAAGAAAGTCCCAAAGTTGTTACTGCATAGAGGCTAGAACAGTATTCCCTATAGCTAACAATGAATTCACCCACTTACATTTTTCTTCTTCCCAAGAAATAAAATTACAGCCATACCATAGCCTCTAACAGATTGTTATGAATGATTACACACAGGAACCTTTGCCATTAACCATATGATGCATGTGCAAGTACTTTATCCTGTAGGCACTGCCAGAAATGAAAAATAACAGGCTCTTGACAAAGCAATAATACTGTAGTATAATATTTTTAAAGCTCTGAAATAAAATAAAGAACGATGAAAAATTCTTTGCATTTCAAAGTATATTTTTCATTTAATTTCTTGCATCTTCCCTTCTCATGATTTGGCTTGGGACCAGGAGAATTGTGTAGACAGGTTGCCTTAGGAAACTGGAAGTAATATTTTTATCTCAGCACTTCAACACTTTTTATTAATATACTTGTCCTGAGTAGAACAGAGACAGAAAAAGGAAGTGATAGCTACTTGTTTGGACCTTCAAAAGTTTTTTTATTCTGAGCATTTTCTGAAACTAACGGGTATCCAAAAGAAAACAGGCATGTCAGCTTTCCACATAATACCAACAACGATGACACAAACACAGAGCTCTGCATCTGTTACGTTTCTTGGGACAGGACTTCAGAGAAATGCATTTAATTGCACTACCAAATCTAAACCAAGCCTCAACAGCTGTTTTTTTCTGACACAGGACTAACTATGTAGGGGCAAGGAAAAGAGATCTGTGTATTTAAGTATTAACATGCATTGTAGATGCTTATTGAGACTCTAACAACCAATTCCTCTTGATCTTTCTGAATCTTTATTCTTGTAAGGGCTTAAAGCTGTGACACAATTAAGTCAGAGCAACCTTAGAAGCTACTACCAGTTGTTCCAGCTGCCACTTTTAAACACCACCTGTGATGTAAATCACATTAGCTTGAATCTCTTGACAGATATTCAAGCTAACCTGCACTTCACACACCCACAGTCAGCCTTCTCTGTTCAGCTGACACAGCAATTTAACACGTCTCACATTTCTTATTGTTCAGATTAAAGACGACAACCACACTGTTCTCCAAACAAAAGGAATTTCAAGCTTTTTTAAATTCAGAAGGCCTGGGACATGCTGCTAAATTCAATATCCAGATTTATTACCATTTGTTCATCCTAACACTGTGGACATTCCATTCACAGTATTTCAACAAGTCTGACAATTATTACATTCAATTCAATCTCTTCAGCACTTCTGTATGAGTAAAGAGATGAAGTCTGTGAATTCTTTGAGGCCAAGGCACTGGCCTCAAGACAAAGTAACATCTGATCTTTTCCCTTAAAGTCTCTGCTTATTTCAGGTATTCTTTGAATTTTTCCATTATCCTTATAGCACTCGAGACCCTAGCAGGCAGTAATGCTGCCACAGGCCATCTATGCTATACTATCTTATAGTCAGGTTAATTGTGACCAGATACAAATAACATATTAGTAAATTCATGACAATATGAGGATTAATTTAATAATTTGGATTTATGGATGGCATACCTCTCCATGATTCTCCAAATACAGAGAGTGTTGTGTTCTATACACAACAATAGGTTGCTTGCTCATCTCTCAACACTATTCTAAAAAAATCTGAGTTTAATTTAAAAGATATGTGACCATATCTTTTTGAAAGCTTCCCTTGAATTTAAGGTGAAACACCTTCTTTGCTGATAAAAAGAAAAATAAACATTTTAAATTAAAAGAATCACATATGTTACCTCATAAAAGAATTCTTCCTCTGCATTTGCAAACATTAATTCCTCTTTTTGTTGATTTCTCCCTTCCCTCCTCTTAGAACTGCTCTTTGTAGCTTCTGTAAAGGTCTTGCTGATAAGAAGATAGTAGTGACATTTTCCACAAGGTTTGTTTGTTCTCTGTGCCTCAGTCAGCTCTTTCCTAAAGATAAATAAATGTTTACCCATACAATTTAAACCCTCAACAAATGTGTAAGTAAACCTTATAATGTATTAGTATAGGAAGGATATTCATATTGCAGTCTATTCTATTAAAAGTACATCAGAAAACAAATTTTGCATACACATTCCTAGTACTTAAACATATTATTTGCACTTTAAAACAATAAAAATATGGATGTCTTTCCACGCCTCACAATATAACCCTTTTTTCCCAGAATCCTGTTCATGGTAGGCAGTCTGTGAAATGACTCTAAGTGCAACTCTCCTGAAAACACATCACACTATCACTTCCATGAGGAACTGTAACTGAAGAGCCAGAAAATACTCTTGCCCACCCTTCTGTTAAACACGTTGTCACTGCAACAGTCCAAAATCTTTGAGACAAAGAGGTCGAGATCTGAATTTGAGTTGTAACAAGTGCTGTAATAGTGGTAAACCTAAGCTTTCAAGCACCTCAATTCTTTCTCTAAAAACCAACACTATCTACACATTTTCTTTCATATCAAAGTAGTAATTCCTTAAAGGTCTATTTTATTGTTTTAATGAGCCATGACAGCAGTCAACTTAGATCTGACTTCTAATCTCACCTCACATGAAGGAAAAGAAGAAAAAAGAAAAAAATAACAATCTTTGTTTGATTACTGGAGTTCCTTATCCAACATAATTTCCTGGTTCTCAACGTGGCACTAAAACAATATAACGCTGTATCTCAGTGGATTCATTTACTTACTGTCACCCAGTCTATGATATAAAACAATGAATTGGTAGAGATCAACCAGCACCTAACATGCTTCACTCGTTTACTTGACACTAATCAGAACGCTACATACGGGTTTCGTGGGGCAGAACTCATCCACCTTATAAAGCTGTCCCTCGATCCAAATCTTCCAATCCAGAGCCAGACATTAACACGTGAACAGAAACATCCAAGTTTCTTGTTATCAGCATGCTATAAGAAGTTCTCATTTTTAAATTTTCCTAGATCAATATGAAAATAATCTGCTATAGAAAGAAAAACTACAATATACACACGGCTATTTCTGCAGTAGAACAGCACATATTCTTAAATGATTTCATCTATCTTAAAGTATAGTTTGAAAAGCCTAAAGATATAAAAATATTAAAAATTAGCTAAAGACCTTATATGAAATAAAAATATTTTTTTCTGTTCATATCTTACTTATAGATATAGTATCACCTGTCTTAACATAGTTCTGTATACATAAGATTCCTGAAAAAATATGAAGAAAAAGTACTATTAAACATCACGTCAAAGAAAACCCAAACAAACTTACTGAAGCTGCTGGTGCATGGGCAGAGCAATCTGCGGTGGTACGTTAATGAATCTTTCACTTAGCAGAAGACCCACAGGCTTAGTACTGTCATTTAGGAGCTTATTCAGTTGTTCAACTACATGCTGTTCACAGCTCTTCTCACACTGACTTAGAATCAGCTCTTTGATTTGTTCAGCACACTGTGTACCCTAGAATCAAAAGGTATATTTCCTTTACGTTATAGAACAATTATTTACACAAAAAAAAACTTGGATGTGAACTTAAAGGGAATATTCTACAGGCCTATTGGCAATTTCCTTAAGCAGTCTCTAAAGCACCATACAATTTCTCTAAAATTATTTACCAACCCTGAAGCTGAGGGCAAACAAAGGTTCTTAACTGATAGGAACCAGTACACTCAACAGCAAAATTCAAAAGCTGTAAAAGATGAAAGTGAAGAAATACAAGAGGCTGACAGTTCAGTTACCCCAGATCTACTTATCAGACCTAGTTTTAACTCTCTATTCCATTCTTTGCCTTATGTTTGACCTTCAGCAAGTTACACAGGACAAGATCCAAAAGAAAGCTAAGTGATGTGCAAATTTTAAGACCATAGTCCTCCATGGAGGAATTCAAAATCCTGATCCTTGTTATACAAGGCAGAAAAACAGGATGCAGCTTCATTTATTACTGTCCAGACATTAGTGAGGAATACCAACCTTCCTTTCTGTTAAGTTTAAGCAGCTTATAAAACCAAAGACTTCATCATCATCTTCATCATCATCACTACCTTCTTCTTGGACTTCCGCTTGCTATTTAATGAAAGAAAAAACAACAACTCATATTGACATTCTATTTCCACTCTCTGCAGCAAGAAATGTTTTTCTTTCCAGAAGATGCTCGGCAGATGACAACCATCTAGGTAATCCGTAGAAACACACAACCTACAAATTCTGGTTACGATTATGAAAGTGCCGCATCATTGAATGCCTCTGCGTACTTACAGCCAGCTATATGGAGAGCCAGGTCATGTATCTTCTACAGCAGGATCTTTTGAAAGGCGCTAAAATTTGATAGCTCACATATAATAAGCAGCATCTCGGTACAAGGGATGGCAATATCTTAAGCAAAACCAATTTTCTTCAGTTTCTAACGTAGGGAAATAAACCTGCAAAGTCTTAAAAATCATACAGCAATAGAGGTTTGATGGAGAGTGAAACAGAAAGCTCACTAGAACTCCGCAATGAAAAACCTGGGGAAAGAACTGGGGGTCATGCTGTTGTAATATAAGGATCATATTAAAGCTGGGCATAAAAAAACCTGTTGGTACGGGACAAAAAGGGAATGTATAGCAATGACACCATGCAACATGGTACAACAGCACAACCGTGCCATGGGGGCAGCTTGTTTGGGTTTGAAAGAAGCATGGCCATGACATCTTGAGCACTATACAGTACTGAACAGCTTCCTTAGCCAGCAGTAACTCAGGAGCCTCTGCATGGTGCTCCAACTGCCATGGCAGAAGTTGTTCTGGACTCATTTCAGGATCCTTTTCTATGTCCATATAACTCTGCACAAAAGGAAACTGCATGCAGGATATTTTTGTTCTATATCTCTGT